TATACCGATACTCTGATTTGCACGAGTGGTACGTGACGCGCGTCGTCGAGCCTATCTTAACATCACTCGAAGAATTTCAAGAACGCGACAGCGGATGGGCACTGTCGCGTATACTAAATTTGGCGGTGAACGCGAATAAGCACAATCCTCTGCGCGCGGGATGTCACATCAAACTCCCGCGAGAAATTATGCTAAAGAGAGCGGTGATCAACCTGCAATCCACGGACAATGCGTGTTTTGCGTGGTCGGTGCTCGCCGCTCTGCATCCAGCTCAAAAACATGTGGAGCGAGAGTCATCATATCCGCACTATTCCACAGTTCTAAATCTCGCGGGCATCGAATTTCCGATAACACTGAACCAGATTAAGAAATTTGAAGCACTAAACGACATTTCCATCAACGTCTACGCCATCGAGAAGGGGATTGTGCCGATACGACTCGCAGACCGAAAGAGGAGCAAGCACGTAAACCTCTTGTACGTGGAGGATGATAGCGCGGGACACTTTACGCTCATTAAAGATCTATCCCGCCTTGTCAGTTCTCAAGCTAGCAGAAAAAAGAATAGAAAATATTTCTGCAATAGGTACGTAATAATAATAATAATGATAATAATAATGATAATAATAATAATAATAATAATTGTTTCCAGATGCCTTCACTACTTTGACTCGAGCGCAAAACTAGAGGACTGTGAAAAAATTAACGATTGTGCGATAAGCTGCCGAGCGAGGACGACAAATGGCTGAGCTTCCGCAACCACTGCCGGAAAGAACGCGTCCCGTTCGTAGTCTACACCGATCTTGAGTGTGCGTTGGAGAAAACGGATAGCGGTTCACAATCCGCTACGCACACATACCAACATCACAACGTCTTCAGTATCGGGTATTACGTGCAATGCTCCTACGACAGCTCACTGTCGGGATATCGTTTCCGCCGTGACAAAGACTGTATAGCGTGGTTCGCGGAAGAACTTAGACAGTTAGCGCATAGTGTACAGACGACAATTTCAGCCAATGTTCCCACGGCAGATTTCACGCGCGACGAAAAATTTAACAGCGCCTCACACTATCACGTGTGCGAGAAACCGTTTACACCAGACGATACGCGGGTACGCGATAACTGCCATCTCACCGGACGATACAGAGCCCCG